TGTATTTATCTTACTGTAAATAACAAGTGAAAAAATTTTCAGCCTTATCAGTTGGACATTCCTGTTTTTATACTGCTTTTTTTAATTCACTAACGCTCTAAAAATGAATATTTCAGCTGCAGTAAAGAATCAACGTTGGCGGATTTTGGTTCTTGACATCCTTTACGATCGGTCACGATGCCTAGAGTACGGAGACCTGTACGATTTCGTCAACTTAGTGAGTTTGATAGAGGCCGTATAGTGGGACTTCGGGAAGCTGGACTTTCTTTTCGGGCAATTGCAGTTAGAGTGCAAAGAAGTGTAGACACTGTGGTTAGGTGTTGTCAGGCATGGCTTCGAGAAGGCCGTACGCAAAGAGCAAGGGGCACTGGACGCCGCCGTAGAACAACAGACCGTGAAGATCGCCGTCTAAGATTATTGGCCTTAAGGGACCGTTTCTCCACTACCAGGTCCATTGCAAATGAATGGTTTGCAGAACACGGAAGACCTATTGGCATGCGAAGTGTTTACCGACGAATGAGAAGTTTTGGCTTGTTTTCATACCGGCCACACTGGGTCCTCCCTTTAACTCGAGAACACCGACGTAATCGCCTTGAGTGGTGCAGACAACGGTCACTCTGGGATCAGGAATGGAACAGTATTGTCTTTAGTGACGAGTCTCGATTTTGTTTGGGCATGCACGATGGTCGTGCCAGGGTTAGAAGGCGACGTGGTGAAAGGAGGAATCCACAGTTTTTTGTTGAAAGACATGTTCGTCACACTGTTGGAGTTATGGTTTGGGGTGCTATAGCTTATGGTTCCAGGTCACCTTTAATCTTCATCCGAGGTAACATGAACGCGCAGCGTTATATCCACGAAGTTCTAGAACCTCATCTTTTACCCTATCTTGACACCCTGGCAGATCCAACTTTCCAACAAGATAATGCCCGACCACATGTTGCAAGAGTCACAATAGACTTCTTTCAACATAATGATGTCACATTGTTACCATGGCCACCAAGATCTCCCGACTTATCCCCAATTGAGCACGTGTGGGATATGATGGGTAGGAGATTGCTCAATATGCAACGTCCTCCTCAGACTCTAGAAGCACTTCGAGAGGAGTTGGTGGTTGCCTGTAATGAGATACCACAGGAGGACATTGACCACCTGATCAGAAGCATGGCTAGGCGCGTTGGAGAATGCGTAGCACATCAGGGTGCATCCACACATTATTAAAGGTCAAAGGGCTTTAAAGCAGTGCAATAATTTTGAAATTTTTATCATTTACTTATTATGCTTCATTAAGTACTTATACAAAATTTTATTAAAATAAAACCATTTAAACTGGGTGTTCGGATTTATATGTCACTTAGTATATTTGACACATTAATTCTTTACTTTGCAACTCTGACAAACGTTTCAAATCAAAATAGATCTACTACCTCTCTCCTTGGTGGTGATTCAATATTCGATTCATAAACGACGACTTCGAAAACTCAAAGGTACGAAATTTTCTGCCACAAATCAGATGCATTTCAGATAAATGTTCCGCCATTTTTTTTGTAAAATTTCACATCTGATTTGTGATTATGTAATTCAAATACTCAAAGATATCGGTTAAATGTCATCATAGATTCGTAATCAGTAACCTTTGAATCGTTATTGTACCAAATTTTGTTTTGTTTGACCATGTTTCTTTATCACTTAGAGTAAAAAAAACAAACAAATTTATACAGGGTGGCCAATATATAACTGACTACTTTAAATTGCGCGATTTTACACGTTTAATTTCTCGATTTGGTGATGTCAACTGGCCACCGGATTTGACGGCTCCTGACTTTTTTATGGGGATTTTTGAAAAATTTGGTTTATACCAACAAACCAAGTACTGTAGAGCAGCTGAAGAACAATATTACGGAAGCGATTAAAAATATTCCTCCCGAAACTTACCAAAAAGTGATGTAAAATGTAATCAAGATGGCTTTCAATTTCAATAAAAGATCAATATGAAAAAATTGACATATTTTATTTCATTTCATAAATAAACAAGAAACAAACCAGTCAGTTGCATATCGGCCACCCTGTATAATCTCGGTTTACCGATGTATATCGGTTTTTTTGGAGGAGTGAAAGTTTTTGAAAAATCTCAAATTCCACATCAACATATTACAATATTTCCTCGGCAGTAGGCTTGAAAAGCAAAACACGAAGCATTTTCGTTTAAATGATTTCAGTGTGTATTGGAGATTAAAACCAAGGACGAATGATTCATACCATCGACAAAGATCGAAGAACCAAGCGATACATTTACTTTGTTGCTTTGTTATATTACCCAGTTCTTTATATGTGCGTTCTTCTTTCATGGAATTATCTCGTTATGTATTATTATCTATGTATGCATTTAGCACAGTTCCTTTGTTGAAAATTCATACGCGTTTGTTGTTATTTACGCTACATCAATCAACGAACCATATCGGTTCATATAAGTGTTTAAAATGAGAACATAATTTGGGAGTTTTACTTAGCTTTTAAAAAATCGCAGTAAGTAGATTGACTCTAGAATGTGCCAGTAATCCGGATACCACCAGTAGGTGGACAAATGTTATACGAGGGATGTCCTTTAAGTTTTGAATATAGAAACATAGTAGGCCGTGCGGATCGAACGTCAGTACTGAATCTTAACCTCACTCTTTAGTAAACTTAAATTCAAAGTTTCACAACAATACGTGCAGTGTTCTCACTACAGTGAATTTTTAAGTCATTACTCAACCGAGAACATTTTCGCGCCATAATTTATTACAACTTTCTTCGTGGAGAATACTTCGAAAAACAATAAAGCCATTTAAAACTGCCTACCGTGTTGCTTTATTTCCATATGCAAAACTTAAAGGACATCCCTCGTATTATTTGTAAAAACTTGAATATTTGAAATCCTATGCTTGCTGGTAATTGGTACCAGATTTAACAACTAATTTGAGATAGTTTACAAAAATTTCACATCCGCAGTTGTCATATTGACGACAGGCAAGAGAATCGTCAGCTGACAATTTATAAATACTGTTCTTGTTACATATGCAATCAAAATATACGAAATAAATTTATCTTAATATGTTAATTTAACATTTTGAGATCAAATTGGAGTGGCCGCATGCAAAATCCAATAGTCGGACAAGTGTCGTGGTCGTTGTCAATCTATCTTTTTCTCTTAGAACATAGAAACTATCAAATTTTCCACCTAGAAATCACAATTGACGTGTCCGAGCGTTTTTCCCTCAAAAAAAATTGAACAGGTGATTTCTCATCACTTTCTCTTTTCAAAAAATCTTTGCTTTTCTCGAAAATTCAATTTGCTGCAAAATGAGGTCTCAAGATAATCCAAAATTTTTAGATGATAATCGAACGCTGAATACTACAATAAAAATGAAATTTTGACATACAAGCTCAGAGCTGTTTTAATATACTAAGAGACATATACATCCGAACACCCAGTTTAAATGGTTTTATTTTAATAAAATTTTGTATAAGTACTTAGTGAAGCATAATATGCAAATGATAAAAATTTCAAAATGATTGCACTGCTTTAAAGCCCTTTGACTTTTAATAATGTGTGGATGCACCCCGATGTGCTACGCATTCTCCAACGCGCCTAGGCATGCTTCTGATCAGGTGATCAATGTCCTCCTGTGGTATCTCATTCCAGGCAACCACCAACTCCTCTCGAAGTGCTTCTAGAGTCTGAGGAGGACGTTGCAAATTAAGCAATCTCCTACCCATCATATCCCACACGTGCTCAATTGGGGATAAGTCGGGAGATCTTGGTGGCTATGGTAACAATGTGACATCATTATATTGAAAGAAGTCTATTGTGACTCTTGCAACATGTGGTCGGGCATTATCTTGTTGGAAAGGGTAAAAGATGGGGTTCTAGAACTTCGTGGATATAACGCTGCGCGTTCATGTTACCTCTGATAAAGATTAAAGGTGACCTGGAACCATAAGCTATAGCACCCCAAACCATAACTCCAACAGTGTGATGAACATGTCTTTCAACAAAAAACTGTGGATTCCTCCTTTCACCACGTCGCCTTCTAACCCTGGCACGACCATCGTGCATGCCTAAACAAAATCGAGAATCGTCACTAAAGACAATACTGTTCCATTCCTGATCCCAGAGTGACCGTTGTCTGCACCACTCAAGGCGATTACGTCGGTGTTCTCGAGTTAAAGGGAGGACCCAGTGTGGCCGGTACGAAAACCAGCCAAAACTTCTCATTCGTCGGTAAACACTTCGCATGCCAATAGGTCTTCCGTGTTCTGCAAACCATTCATTTGCAATGGACCTGGTAGTGGAGAAACGGTCCCTTAAGGCCAATAATCTTAGGCGGCGATCTTCACGGTCTGTTGTTCTACGGCGGCGTCCAGTACCCCTTGCTCTTTGCGTACGGCCTTCTCGAAGCCATGCCTGACAACACCTAACCACAGTGTGTACACTTCTTTGCACTCTAACTGCAATTGCCCGAAAAGAAAGTCCAGCTTCCCGAAGTCCCACTATACGGCCCCTATCAAACTCACTAAGTTGACGAAATCGTACAGGTCTCCGTACTCTAGGCATCGTAACCGATCGTAAAAGATGCCAAGAACCAAAATCCGCCACCGTTGATTCTTTACTGCGGCTGAAATATTCATTTTTAGAGCGTTAGTGAATTAAAAAAAAGCAGTATAAAAACCCAAATGTCCAACTGATAAGGCTGAACATTTTTTAAACTTGTTATTTACAGTAAGATAAATACATTCACCAACTTTTATTAAAATAAAACCATTTAAACTGGGTGTTCGGATTTATATGTCACTTAGTATATTTCTACGCAAGTTATGATTGAGGAAAAAAGCAATACACAATAAAATGCATTTTTTGATAGAGAAAAAAATACACACCACGAAATAATCAGTGAAAAGGATTTAAAATGCTGATCACAAACAGCCACTAGTTTAAAATCAAAGATTCACCCATATCTTACTTCTAACAAAAATCCCTTCGGCGACAGTGTACGTGATACCCCTGAATCCAATCTTGACGGCCCCCTCGTACTCCGGCACCTCCCCGAAGTTATTTACGAGCGCGTTCTCCTGGATCGGGGTGAGCAGCTCGACGCGCAACGAATCCGGCCGTTTCTTGACCCGCGCCGTGATCGCGCAAGGTGGTTCCATGACTCGCGCGCGGTACCACCGATCAGCGGTGAAGCCTGCGCCCGTCGAAGGCCCGGCACGACTGTGCGTTCGAAGCGCGAGAACCGCCAGATGTAAATGAGCGCGACTTTGATGCAGGCATTTTAGGCTGTGCTTTACGAATAAGCGTTCTCGGCAGTGTTGTTCTTTGTGTCGGTATAGGGTGTTTCAGTTTATTGTTGCATAACTTTAAGATTCGATAGAACCTTCGTGCGTATTCTCTGGCTGCTTCTGCTGCGTTTCCATTTATAAAGCCATACACAAAATGAATATCCGCTAACTCTTGATTGGAGAATAAAAATGGCATTTTCATAAAACTGAGAAAAAAAAAACAGGTAAAAGAAACTGAATTTCGTGCATTCACAATTGCAAAAAACCTTTCAGGTTTCAACAGACAACAAAACTAACTGTCAACTAATTGACGTTTAACCTTATTCTGCTTTCAATTTCAAAAATATTTGCAGGCACAGCCTACTTCTAAAAATTATCGAGATACTGACTTTTCAACGTTATTTTATCATAAATAATTAAAAATGCACCGAACCTTAAAAATCGAGATATCTCAAAAACGGCTAACTATAACGAAAACTCACAGGAGAGCTTTTTTATGCAGAAATGTGCGAGGAATCAGTTTTTTCATTCAAAAAGCAAAAAATTGTACTAAGAAAAAAATTTCTGTCATTTTAATACACTACAGGTACAGTAGAGAGCGCCCTCTAGCGGCTACAGTAAAACTATGCCCATGGTTCGTTTAATATTGTTCGAAATATTTAAAAAAAACTATTTTAAGCTGGAAATTTAATCATTTTACTAGTTAGGGACACTGGACGTATAGGCCAAAAACTATTAAAATCGGATACGCATACGTAGGTGATTACCTTTTTCTGTGACTCAATAATAATCGCGGAGCCCACACTGAGGACTCACATCACATCATGAAGTCCTGTGATCATGAAAACCACAGGATAAGTTACAGGAGTTGTAGTAATACTATTACGATTGAATATCAAATGACTGAACTATAAAGTGGGGCATCGCGTATCGCGGCATTTGAGAGCAAACAGCTGTGTGTCCCCGTTATCAGTCACTTTTATCTTATTAGTCAAACAAGAGGGATCGCGGATCACATTAGTGATAATGATAACAATACAATTTTGTGTTGGACTGAAGTTTCGGTAATTTAAACATTCCATTTTTGTGTGTCGCATCTTTCATCTGATTTCTGACTTTGCCGTCTTGTATAGTTTCTGCTCGTGTTGCCATGTTTCTTATACCGAAGCAGCCGCGGCGTTGAATTGAAACGATTCCGAAGGGCGAGAGCACGCTCCTCCATGTTCGAACGCATGATGGCGACTGAACTGTGTCGGGACGAAACTTTACAGTCCCGTCTCTCGAACGAGACCACTACAGTATATTCAGATAAGAGATAGACCGGACATAAACAAGACCACGTGATCATCGAACGCTGTAACATTCGGCAGGGACGTATTAAGAGTCACGCAGTACATATTTTAGATAGTAGATGCTGCTCTGCGTAACTTTGTAGTAAATTAGCACAATTCGATGTGTATACGATTGGTGATGGATATAGGATCATGTGGGAGTGGGGTAAGAAATATATAATGATGTAAATATACATAAGGGTTTCAAAATTTTCGCTTCGATTTCCAGCTTCGGATGCCGTCTGATGTTTGGTGAAATACAGTCGAATATAATCTCAAAATGGCGTTTAAATTAGCCTAAATTAAAAATAATCGTATATCTCTTAAAATTGCTTTTAGAATATTGATTAGTATATTTTTTGATTTCTAGGTAAATATGTAACCAAATTAAAACGTTCAACACATAAAAAAATGTGCATGGTTGAACATTGTCAGAAAGTAGATTCTTGAATAGGTTTTGCCAAAATGGGTTCAAAAATGTCAATAATTAATTAAAAAATACAGTAGCTTTATAATTACTTATAACTTACCGAATTTGATGAACGACATCTTTTATTGGAAAGATGAGCTTGATGAGCTTTCATCATCGCTACTGCCTGAAGCACCAACGTCAATAATGAATGGCTCGACTTGTTCCTCTAAAATATTGTCCAGTTCCCACATTCTCTTTTCAACTTTGTCTTTCACGTGCTTAATACAGTTTTCCCATTTTTGCGCTGTTATTAATTCTAGTGCTTCTTTGAAAAGTCCTTTGAGGTCACAAAATTTAAAAGTTGTATTGTGCTTAGCTATATAATTTTTAACCTCTGCCCATATAAGCTCAATGGGATTGAGCTCGCAATGGTATGGAGGTAAACGGAGCACAGTTTTATTTTGACTTGCTGCCATTTCGTCAATGGCGTATTTTTGATATTCCGCCTTGTGATCCTTGATAATTCTTAATAATTGTACTTTCAGCATTGCTTCTTCAAAGTTGATATTTTTCGAGCGGAGCCAATTTTGAACATCAACTTTCCTTGAAGCCGTTGTTGGGACCTTCTCCATTCTTTGAGAATGATAAGGCGCATTATCCAACACAATTACTGCGTTTTCCTCTAAGTTCGGTAAAATTTTTGAAAACCACTGTTCAAACGATTCGCCATTCATTTCCTCGTGGTAATCTCCAGTTTTCTTAGACTCAAAGCACCACAGACCGTCAACAACAAATCCATCCTCACTGCCAATATGGCAGATAATGAGCCTTTTCCCTTTACCTGGAAATCGAAGTACTAACTGGTGTAGATTTATTTCAATAAGCGAACCTTTTTCAAATTTCATCACATTCAGCGAAAAAACATTGAGACATGAGTATCAGATTGCTATAATTGGGATTATTTAGTCATATTGAAAGAAAGAATATTGAACGTCGTATGATTACTCAGCGCTTCACAATTTAATTTAAAGTTATAAACCTTTAAAAAATGAATGATCAGGAACCTGAAATACGCGCAAATATTAATATTAACAAATTATAACTTTATAAAGCTTAAAGTATGAATTAAAATGATTAGAAATATTAGGAACGGTACACAATATAAAACTTAGTAACTTTTTTTAAGTTTATAATATTCGACATATTTTAAGATTATATTAAAAAACAATTGAAATATCGAAAACACATAAAAACATGGCTTAAAAAAGTTCTAACAAATGAAAATGACAATAAAACATCCACGCATTTTATCGAAAGTTATAAAAGTTTTGTTACTTGTAATATGTTTTAACTGCCCCCTGGAATTAATGTTTAGAACCTTGTTCCCAAGGTTTGAAAAACATCCGATTGTTGTCTATTACTCGTATTTACCTGCTGGATTTTTTAATCCGGTGGACAGTCCATCTAGAAAGGCCCTCCTGGATGAAGTTACAGAATCATCAACCCATACTTTACTTGTAGTGTGTCCTGCGTTTACCCACGTTTCATCAAGGTAATAAATCTTCCTGTTTTGATTTCTATATTTCCCAATTTTTGTTAAATAATCCCTCCTCCATAGCACAATTTCTTCTCTATCCTGTAGTAAACTATTACGACCCCGTTTTTTCCATTTGAAATTTAAATGCATCAGTAACGCATGGAAAGTTGATCGTTTGAAATTTGGCAACGTTGTATCTCCATTTACCTCCTGCAGTACTTTATCTATAGTAGGTATTTCATTCTTAAAGAAGAATTCATGCACTTTCCTCCTAATCGCATGCTTATCAGCTTCATCCAATGATTTAACAATACTTTTGCGATGTTTACTGGTCATTGGCTCAGAAAAGGTGTGATTTTTTTTGTATTGTCTTAACACATTAAACACTGATGCGCGACACACCCCAACTTTGTGAGAAACCTTCACAACAATTTCTTTGATGGTTGATGCCTCGTTCTCCTCGCGCTCGATTTTATATATATTCAAAATGACCTCTTTCATTTCTGCACTCAGGTGTCTTTTTTTAGAGCGTTTCCTAGGTGGACTACAGGAGTTTACAACTTCATCGGCAGTATCTGTACTACTGGGCATTTTGCGCAAGCAGTTGATAACAATAACAAGGTATAACAATAACAACGACAAACTCAACAACTTAATAAGATAACAAACGAAAACGTCCAAAGAAATATCAAATTGCAATGATGCACACGACATACGTAACACGTCTGAACCTGAATGTGACTCTGCCTTGATACGACTGCTCTGCCGCTCGGCATAGGCATTTAATTGCGAATTGACCAATGAGGGCTCCTGTTTTACGTCGAGACGGCGGCGTTAGCGTGAAAATCACCCGAACCTTTTGTTTACATCCGGTCTATCTCTTATCTGAATATACTGTAGAGCTGCGCTACGGTATCAACCGACTAAACGGCGCTTATTTCAACAAAGAAAGTTATGCTGCCGCACACTATGAAAACAACGTTGGAGCCAAGATCGTTCCCTGGAGAATACCCGCATTGACATCGCGGGATGAAAAGGAGGACCCATTAATTGCGACCCATCTGCAAAGCTTCTGCGGGAGGCCAAAGGATGGAAGTTAGTTTTTGTTTCCTCGCCTGAAAAGGCCGATCAAAGGCAAGCATTTTGAGACGGCAGAGGGGATTCAAGCAGCATGCACCGCGGCTCTCAAGGCTATTCCGGAGAATGAGTTCCGTGACGCCTTCAATGCTTGGAAATCGCGCTGGCAGCGCTGCATCGACTCAGTAGGGACCTATTTTGAAAGTTTTTAAAGAATTGTAACGTTTAGCTCAATAAATTTTTTAAATCGACTCAGCCCTATTACTTTCCGGGCAAACCCTGTAGCATAAGAGGCCAGTATGCCACAGCTGATCGAAAGCTTTAACCTTCATTCTCGAAAATTTTCCAGAATAACGCTTTCGATATTGCAGGGAAAAAATGTTCCTGGCTCCTGATGCCTCCTCAGAAAGCTGCCCAATTGGTAATAAGTCATGTGCAATGACACTTGCAGCATGTATCAGTATTTTATGGACAGTAGGGGATATTTGCTGCCAAGAATACAATTTGGCCGTGTAGTATATTTCCCGAGCTTTTTGTATCTATCTCGAATCCTAACGATAATACCTCTA